TGGCTGGATGCAGCACCACGGAAATCCAGGAATCCCCATCCTGGGGTATTTAGGAAGTCAATACAGAGGGATATATTAAGAGCTGGGCTGGAGGTTGGTTTTCCTTCTCCTTGCTGTCACAGCTCCCAGAAAAACTTGGCCTACAGTCTTGAAGTGCCCCTGGAAGCTTCTTGTCCCATCCTGATTCCTCAGAATAATGGAATGGTTTGGGTTGGAAAAGCTCATCCTCTGTGGGTGGGGACACCTTCCCCTCTCCCAGTTTGCTCCAAGCCCCATCCAACCTGGCCTTGGACACTTCCAGGGATTCTGATTTATATGGACAGCCTGTGCCAGGGCCTCACCACCCTCACAGGGAAGAATTTTTCCCCAATATCTCATATAAACATTCCCTCTACATCTACCATTAAAAAAAAACAACAATTCCAAGATGTTTATTGTTTATTCTCTTTTTACGGAGAGCTGACTCATAGCAGGGCTGGGAACAGGTTGTTCATGGAATTACACAGGGAATAAAACAAATGGAAGTGAGTAGGAGGAAGATGCAATCCAGATCAGCACAGCTCCAGCTCTCTGCGTGTCTCAGCCAGATGGAAATTTCAGGAGGTTTGTGGGAAAAAAGTATTGAAAAATAATGGATTTATAGCTCCAGTGGTATTGTTCCTATGTCCTCTCTGGAGAAGGTCTGGGATTTTGGATTTGAGATTTTCAGGGATGGTCCTAATTGGTCAGGTCCAAGCCATGCTGAGGAACACATTAACAGTTAAAAACTGTGGACAGCTGTTCGACAGCCCTTGGAATTGTGTATGGATTTTCCATGTATTATTGGTATGGATTCCATGACAGGTCTTCTGCAGTGATTCCAGCCCCAAGGAAGCTCGAAGGGCTGTTGGATCCCCCTATTAATCACCAGGTATAATCCTTTTTGTGACCTAATCCAGATCCAACTGGGATTTGGGCAATAGAGGAGCCCCAGAGACACCATAAAATCAGGTAATATCCATAACCAGGGATTTGGGATGGCCCCGGGGCACCGTTTCCCTGCCCTGCTTGGAAGAGAGGAAGCCAAAGGGCAAAGTCTCAGGATTTCAGCACCTTGGTGATATCCCAGCCCTGGGCTGCCCATGCTTGCTTCCTGATCCTGAGTTTCAGGATTCTGAGTGTGTCTTCCCCATGGAAATAGGCATGGAGACAGGATCCTGAGTTTCAGGATTCTGAGTGTCTCTTCCCCATGGAAACAGGCATGGAAAGCATCCAGGAATGGGGAAAAGTGTGGGGGGTTGGCAGGAGCAGCCACAAGGATCAAATCCTTCCGTGATTTGACGTGCAAAGGACTTAAGCCTGTGTGGGATGAACTCCAAGCTCCTCTTGGTTTCCCTGGGATCCGAGCACCTGTGAGGGTCTGAGGCGAGGCCAGGTCTGTGTCAGGGGCATGGTGGTGGCAGCTCACCTTGGTGTCCTGATTTTGACAAGGTCACAACCAGGCAGGATGCAAAGAATGAGCCCTGCAGGATCAGCACAGAGAAATCCCTGTGGAGAAGGGATGGAAGAAAGAGGGAGGGAAAATCTTTTTCACTGTTGTTGGGTCAAGGAAGGAAGAGCTGGAGCTCTCATTCATCCAGGAGGTGCTCAACACATAGAGTTCCTCTTCTCCCAGGGCCACATGTCCTTCAAAATGCTGTAATTCCTGGCAAAAAGTGGTGCCATATTTGGCGTCTTCCTCCCTCAAAAACATTCACAAAAAAATGAAGGATGAGGAGCAAGACTCTGCAATTGCTTCAGTGGGTTTTATTTAGGGCTGGAATATCCCTGGAGCTGAGAATTAAATCCATCCTGCATCCTCTGATTCGCTAGGACTGGGTGGGGAATGGCAAAACAGAGGGATAGATGGAATTATCTGGGAATCCACCTGAGAAGGGATGAGGCAGGTGTGTCACCCTCTGACCACAGGGGAGCTGAGTGGGTAAAAACTTCAGGACATATAACAGGAAAAGGTCCCATGATGTTTCTGTCCTTCCTCATTACTGTGTTTCCTATGTAGATACTTTTCCGAGGCCAATTTTTTTGAAGAACCCGGTATAAGGCTCCCAAAAAATGAGCAGATCCCTCTTCCTTGACTTCCAATCTCTGTTCTGCATCCAGGAGGATTCAACAGCCAGAACATTCCAGAAGTCAGGCAAACAAAGCCACATTCCCATGGCTCCAACACAGGCATATAGTGCAGTGTTCCAGAGCCAAGAGTAAAATCCAGGATCAAGTTCTCATCCTGAAGGATGTGATTCAAATGCTTGCAAGGGCCTGATCTCCAAGGATGAACCTAAGCTAGGGAAATAAACAGTTGCTAGGAACATCCCTGGTCTGGAACATCATCCACAGCATTTAATTAGTTGGTTTAATTGTTGGCACATTCCCTGGCAAGGTTCTAGGATGGATCAACCATCATTACTCCATGGAATACCTGGAATAAAACAGAGGAGGTGGAACAAAGGAAGGATTATTCCCAAGAAACTGATATCCACCTCTTGGCCTCTGTGCTGGAAATGGTCCTGGAAAAGTCAAATTTATTGCCACACCTGTAGCCTGTGGATACTGGGACACCTTTTTTCCAGATCTCTGCCCTGACCCAGCCAAACCTTCCATGCTCCAGTCATGCTGCTTCCATGTGCTGGCCATCCAGGGTGACACCACCATCCTGAGGAAATGCCAGCCATGGCAGCGCCACACCTCACACCTGCATCACACATCCCCAAGGCTGGGATGGTAACTTCCCAAAAATCTGGTTCAGTGGGCCACTGGCAACCCCCAAAATGGGAATTGACCCATCGTGCACTTTTGTCCATCACCCCACTTGTCCCTCAAGCCACTCCTGCCAGTGGAGCTGTGGTGGACCACTTCCCATGGCCTTGGAGATCCTCTTCTGGCTGTCAGTGAGGAGCAGATTTTAATCTGGATTTGGTGATTTCTCTCTGGATCTGTGTCAGGCAGGAGATTATTTGTGTCATCGGTCCTTGGAACTGAGGGAATAAACGTTGTTAATCATGGAATAGTTTGGGCTAAAAGAGACCTCAAGGACCCTCTTGTTTCAACACCCTGCCATGGGCAGGGACAATTTCCACTATTCCAGGTTGCTCCAAGCCCTGTCCAACCTGGCTTTGAACATTTCTAGGGGTGGAGAGTCCACAATCCCAACCATACTGAAGAGTAACACAATTATTTTTCCCCTCAAAAACCAGCCAGAACTGGTGAAAACAAAAGGACAGAGTTTTTCCAGGGTGCTCCCACTGCTGCAGGACGCTGAGCCTTGGCTTCCCAGGCTGACTTCCAGACTCCCCCAAAGAGTCACCCCTGATGCCACGATGAATCAGGCTGGCCAATCCTTATTCCCTGGAACAGGTCCTGCTCTTTGGTCACTGCCTTGTGACACCTGGCAGCACGGACACACCTCCTCCCTCCGGCATTCCTGGGGCACGCAGTCCCCGAGCCTGGCACGGCTTCATCTCTTGAGCAAGAGATGTGGTTTATCCTCTCCACGCCCAGGTGTAGATCCATGGGAGAGGATTGGCCGGTGCTCCTGGGGTTATCAGGGATGACTTCCCCATCCTGTTGATCCAGTTTTACGTCAGCAGAGACGGTGGTGTGTGAGAAACCTCCAAAATATCTGTGAATCGAGCAAAAAAAGCTCTCTGCAAGATTTCCCCCAGCTTTTGTTTCCTTGAAAAGGAAGATGTGGTGGGTTTTGGTGTCTCTTTGAATGTCCTCTGGCCATGCCTTCACAGTGGTCAGTGATTGATCCAGTGATGGATGTTCTGAATGTCTTGGATGAGCATCTCCTCTGTTTCAGGGAATTTTGCTCATCTCACCTGGCTCCTTATCGCCAAGAAAATCATGTTAACCCCCAATCATTTTAACCCTCGCCTCACCCATCTTTCCTCCATGTGTTTTTGGATCCTCTGCCTCTTCTGCTTTTCCATCTCCTAAATCCCAGGCTGTGTCAGTCTCTGCTCTCCTTCCCTGCAGGCTGGAGAAGGAAGGGATAAGCAGACACCTGATGGCCCAAGTGGCTTCACTCCAAGGGGCTCCTCCTGCTTCACCCTCTCTGCTCCTTGGTGGCTTGGTGATTCATGGAGGTGTCAGCTGATGTCCAGCACTAAACATCCTGATAACTCTTTCCTTGGAAGAACAAGTGGGACAGGCAGTCAGATGGAAGCCCCAGAAGGGATGAAGTTATCAGCTCCAGCTCCACCCCTTTCATGCTGAGAAATTGTAAAGGCTGGGAATGTTTTTGTCTGACTGGTAATAAACAGGACTTTGAATTGGATGCTCCATGGAAGAGGGGACAAAGATGTTTTTCCCTTGCTGGAAGTGTTCAAAGCCAGGTTGGATGGGCACACTGCAAGGTGTCCCCTGTCCCTGGCAGAGGGTTGGAATGAGATGGTCTTTAAAGTCATTCCAACCCAAACCATTTGATGATTTTATGATTTAAGACTTTGTAGGTAACCAAGTGATGCATTTCCTGTCCCCATGAATATCCCGCTTGGTTTACCCTGCCTGTAGATGTTGGGAGTTCTCCAGGTCCAACTGTGGAAACGGACTTGGCAAAATCCACACAGACAATTCCATTAATTTATGCCACTTGTTCCCATTTTCCTTGGAGAAAAGGAAATAACCTGGCCACAGATGCGATGATCAGAACAAAACCCCTGCCCAGACATCAACAGCACAGCAGGCCTGACCAGAGATGAATTAAAGGATTAATCCCAATAAATGGTGTGAATTCCCAGAGTGCTTTCACTGCTCCCTGGAATCACCAGCCCAGCCTGAAGGCAATGCCGAGGTGAGAAAACAACCCACGAGCATTCCTGGCCTCTCATCTAATCCATGATCCCTGCCCACTCTTTCCAAATCGTTGGCTTCCTCATCACCCCGTCCAAAGGCAGGGAAGATTTATATCCTGTCCCCAGGTGAGGGTGTTTTTCCTGGGCTGCGGAGACGACCGGGAGAAGATGAAGTTCTCCCTCCTTGCGGTGCTGGCTTTGGTCCTATTTGCAGCTCAAGGTGAGGTTTGCTCCTAGATAAAGTATAGCTGGGTGTTTTAAAGGTAGGAATGCCTCATATTCAGGGAGAGAAATCATGGAAGAGAGCTCCTCGGCTCTTGGAATGGTGCAGGTGAAGGATGCAGTGCTCGTTTTGGGTTTTTTTTATCTAGAATCTCAGTCTGGGTGCGTGAAAAGTTTAATTTTTTTGGTTGGAAATTTCCCTGTCCTGCTGGATTTTTATGGAAACAAGACAGAAAAAAGGAGGCAGTTCCCACTTGGTCTGCCTTTGAGAGAATTTCCAGGGTGTTCTCCTGTCGGGGTGGTGCAAGGCTGTGGTTATTCCTATATCTTGATGAAGACAGCACAATACTCTGTGTTCCTGGTCCATAAGGGCCACACCTCCAACATCTGGCCCTGGGCAGCTGTTTATACCCATCTCCAAGAGCCCACAGCTTGCTGACTTCAGAGATTTTGGGACAAAATTGGGGAATTAGGGAGAAGTTGGGATGTGGGCTGAATGGGTTAATGGTGGTCGGTATCTGCATAGTATTTGTGTTGTAGATGGTGCATTTTATTTCATGGAGAGATGGTAAATTAAATCAGAGCCTTCTTTAAGGAATATGATCCTATATCCTCCATAGAGCAGAGAGAATAAACCTTTTCCTCATTTTGGAGAGCAGGACAGGCTTTGCCAGTGCTTGGAATTGTGCCACACGTCTGGTGCAGAAAAAGAATTCCTTGGAATAGTTATTTCTGGCTCATTGTGGCCTAAGAATACCTTTCTGCTATTTAGCTTTGTTCACTCACCAGAACAGTGATCCTGACAGATTTCCAAGTGTTAACAAGGCCCGGGAGACAGGGGGGTTGTCCTCAGTGCCAAAATGAAGCCTGGCCTAATCCATGTTGGATTATCCAGGCAGTAAAAATTCAGCATTCACTGCGTGTGTTTTCAGGCTGAATTCTCACAGCAAAGAGTAAAAAATGTTTCTCCTCATCTTGTCTGTCCTTTAATCAAGGTTCTGGATTTCTTTTTAGGGGCATTAATGTCCCACCCAGAGACAAAGGCATGGGAGCCTGGCTTTTCTAAGCTGTGGAGGTCCCAGTTAACACTCTTCATCTGCCAGTGCTTTCTGCCTAATTAGGCTGCAGTTTAATAGTCCCCAGGAAGTAGAAAAAGTGACCCCAGGCCTTGGGACATCCTTGGAAACTCCTCCAGGAGTCCCTGCCCTTCTCTGCTCCAAGCATCACACCAAACTTGGTGCCCTTGGCCTGTCAAATCGAAGGAGAGGAAATTTAGGTTGGATATATGGAAACAATTCTTCCCTGTGAGGGTGGTGAGGCCTTGGCATAGGTTTCCCAGAGAAGCTGTGGCTGCCCCATCCCTGGAAGTGTCCAAGGCCAGGCTGGATGTGACATTAGAAGAGTGGATTGCGTCTTTCAGCCCCGTGGCTTTTATCAGACCTGCACCTTGTGTATTTGGGATTCCACGAAAAGTAGGGGATGATTTTTGCTGGCATTTCACAGAATGCCAGAATCATTTAGGTTAGAAAACACCTCCAAGATCCTCAAGTCCAACCTTTGATCACCACTCTTGAGTGCCATGTCCAGGCATTCCTTGGACACCTCCAGGCATGGGGACTCCACCACCTCCCTGGGCAGCCCCTTCCAATGCCTGACCACCCTTTCCATGAAGAAATTCTTCCTGATGTCCCACCTAATGTAGTTTGAGGCCTTTTCCTCTCATCCTGTCCCTTGTTCCCTGGGAGCAGAGTCTGATCCCATCTGACTGCTCCCTCCTGTCAGGGAGTTGTGGAGAGCCAGGAGGTTCCCCCTGAGCCTCCTTTTCTGCAGGCTGAGCCCCTTTCCCAGCTCCCTCAGCTGCTCCTGGTGCTCCAGACCCTTCCCCAGCTTCCCTGGACACACTCCAGCCCCTCAAAGTCTTTCTTGTCATGAGGGGACAAAACTGGACCCAGGATTTGAGGCGTGGCCTCAGCAGTGCCCAGAACAGAGGGACAATCCCTGCCCTACTCCTCCAGGCCTCATCACAAGCCAGGATGATTCCATCTCCCTCTTCCCTGTTTTGTGTCTCTTCCTACAGCAAATTCCCTCTACTGTTACACCTGCAACTGGGAGCAAAGCAACTGGAGCTGCCTGAAGGCCGAGAAGTGCTCAGACAAGGACGAGTACTGTGTCACCAACGTGGCCTCCGTAGGAATCGGTAGGTGCTGGCTCTGGATCCCCTCCTGGGCACTCAGGAATGGGATGTGAGGTCTGGGCTGGATTTGTGAGGGGCTGAGGAGTCGTTGGGAAGCACATGTTGGAGGTGGAGGCCTTTCTAACCCAGCCTGGCGGTGCTGAAGGTTTGGAGTTCTCCTCCCCATCACACACAGAGATTTTCCTCTTCAGCTGTTGTTTTATTCATGCACTGAAAATCAGGGGACATTGAGAGAAGAAGGAGGATCCTTCAGAGAAAGAATAAATAAATTTGAACCTTGATTCCCTGTCGCCTGGGAGCAGAGCCTGACCCCAACCTGGCTGCACCCTCAGGGAGTTGTGGAGAGTGAAAAGGTCCCCCCTGAGCCTCCTTTTCTCCAGGCTGAGCCCCCCCAGCTCCCTCAGCCACTACTGATGCTCCAGACTCTTCCCCAGCTCCATTCCCTTCTCTGGACATGCTCCAGCTCCTCAATTTGTTGCTGTGAGAGCCCAAAAACTGATACCAAGATTTGAGGTATGGCCTCACCAGTGATAAGAAAGGGGAAAAATCACTTCCCTGGTCCTGCTGGTCACACTATTTCTGATCCAAGCCAAATATAGAGGGAAACAGAATTACTTCCCTCAAGCAGAGAAGCCTTGAAATGTGATTTACATCCAGGAATGAGCATTGTCATTGTACACCTAAAAAAGTCTTGATGTGAGGATCCATGCTGGGAAGTGCTGGATGCCCAGCATGGATATGGAATTCCTTGTGTAAGAGGCCACCAACAATTCCTGGGCTGTGGTGGGACCAGGATGGGTCTCATGCTGATCTCTGGGGCTGTGGGGGGACTGTGGGACTCATCAACCCAACTCCGTCCTGCACAAGGATCACTCAACAAACCCCGTTGCTAATCCCGCTCTCTCCCTTCTCTGGGCCAGGCTTTTTGTCCCTTTGGAAGAGGATCACCAAGAAGTGCTCCAGCACCTGCCCACACCACAACTTCCTCCTGGGCCTGGCCACCTACACCTCCTACTGCTGCCAGAGCTTCCTGTGCAACCTCAGTGCATGCCCAGGGCCCCGGCTGGCTCGCCCATGAGGTGCCAGGGAGTCCCATTCCGTGTCCTTCTTCACCTGCTGGGAGAAAATGGACCCTGAAGGACTGAAGAGCTTGGCCAGATTCCCCCAGGAGGGTTTGGACATCAAACATGAGGAATAGATAAAGTATTGTGGTCGTTGTCTTGTCCTGTGGTGCCTCCCAAGCTTCTTCTCGCTTTCTTCTCATCCCTGAGCTCTGTGGCTCCAGCATCCCCACCAGAGCTCTGAGTGCCACATCCAGGAGTTCCTGGGACACCTCCAGGGATAGGGGCTCCACCACCTCCCTGGGTAGCCCCTTCCAATGCCTGACCACCCTTTCTGTGAAAAAAGTCTTCCTGATGTCCAGCCTGAACCTTCCCTGGAGCAACTTGAGGCCCTTTCCTCTCATTCTGTCCCTTGTTCCTTGGGAGCAGAGCCTGACCCAGCCCTGGCTGTCCCCTCCTATCAGGGAGTTTTGCGGAGTCAGAAGGACCCCTGAGCCTCCTTTTCTGCAGGCTGAGCCCCTTTCCCAGCTCCCTCAGCTGCTCCTGGTGCTCCAGGTCCTCTCCCAGCTCGGTTCCCTTCTCTGGACATGCTCCAGCCCCTCAGTATCTCTCTTGTCATGCTCTGCTCTCCAGCTTTGGGAGGGAGATGCTCCTTCTGCACTTCCTGCATCTCCAGAGGGGTTTCTCCTGGAATTTTATCCTATTTTGGGTGCAGTTGGAGCTACTGAGAGGAAACTTCTGGGCAAAAATAACAACCTCTCTTATGAGCACATCTGTCCCCACCTCCACTTCCAGCATCCTTGGGAATCCCTTCCTTCACGTTGCTTTGCTGTTGTTGGAGCCACATGGCCTCACCCAGGGCCAGCAGCTCCCTGGATTCACAGTTCCTACAGCTTGGAATTGTGTTTTCCAGCAATCCATGAATTCACCTTTCCCTCAGCCATCCTCCAAAGCAACAGCAGGGTAATCATGGAATATCCTGAGTTGGAAGGGATCCACAAAGATCATCAAAGTCCAATTCCTGGTCCTGCACAGGACAAACCCAACAATCCCAGCCTGTGCCTGAGAGCTTTTTCCAAGCACTTCTGGAACTCTGTCAGGCTTGGTCCTGGCACCTCTTCCCTGGGGAGTTCCAGTGCTCAAAGCCCCTCTGGATGAAGAACCTTTTCCTAAAATCCACCCTAACCTTCCCTGGCGCATCTCCAGTTGTTCCCTCGGGTCCTGGGCACCAGAGAGAAGGAATCGGTGCCTCCTCCTTTGCTTCCCCTCATGAAAAGCATTTGCAGCATTTGGGTTGAGCTGCTGAGGAAACTTGGGGAGAACAGAGATTCCAGAGAGGTCAAATATTTGATAGAGATGTTTCCAGAGGCTGCAGAGAAACGAGGGGAAAAAGGGGCTGGAAAAATAAACAACGACAAGACAACAGAGGTTTTTCTTTGCTAGATGTGCTCTGAGTGCCTCTCCTTTCTCCTAAACAACACTTTTTGGAGGAATTTTACACTGGAAAAATCATGGGAATGCTTTAGCTCGAGTCAAAGCTCCCAAATCTGCAAAACATTGCTCAGCCAAGGGATGACAGTCTGTGTTGTGCTTCCAACCCAAGCCTGGTAAACAACGGGGACAAAAGGGGCTTTGAGCTGTGCTGAGCAGGGCTGCCTCAGGCTGGAGCCTGGGGCTGCTCAGATTGGAGGATTTCTTTCCAAATCCTCCAGAACAGGGAATTTTCAGGGGTGTGTCTCTCTTTTATTAATCAATTTGTGCTTCCCCTCACCCCCTCCTACCATGTGAAGGAACGTTTTCCTCTTATTTACAGCACGATCTCTTCCCAACCCTCTTCGGGAATTTTTATTTCCCACCCTAAAGCAATTCAAGCTCCCTCCTTACCCTCAACCCAAAACTCTTAATTTACTCATCACACAATATTTCCTCACAAAAACAAAACAAAACAAAACAAAACAATGACAAAAAGGGATTTGTGTTGTTCTTCTCCTGCGTGCCAGAATTTTTCCACTCTCTGAAAGCACTGAGGAATCCCAGTTGGACAGACTCTAATAATTAATATTTCATTGGGTTGGATTTATTCTTCCTGCAGTCGTGGAGACAGAGGCTCCCCCAGCCTGCAGGAAAACATAATCAGGAATTTCTTTTGCTTCTTTAAAGCAAAACTGGCTGGGTTGTTTTGCTTGATTTGCTGTGCCTTTGCTGCAGAAAAACTTCCTTGTATCCATGGATAATAGAAAGGGAAAATAAATCATCCTGGGCATGGTTGAAGAATAAAGGGTTATTTTTTTTACAACATTAAAAATAAAGTAAAAGAGAGGAGGTTTAGACGGGATATTGGAAATAAAATTTTATTGGGAAGGGAGTGAGATGCTGGAATGGATTTCCCAGGGAAGCTGTGGCTGCCCCATCCCTGGGAGCCTCCAAGGCCAGGCTGGAGAGGGGTTGGAGCAATTTGGAATGGTGGAAGGTGTTCCCATGGAAGGAGGTGGCACTGGATGATCCTGAAGGTCCCTTCCAACCCAAGCCATTCCATGATCCTATAATTCCCACTGCAGCTCAAGGATATGGAAATCCCTCCTCCCCTAATGACAATCAACCCTGGTGGCAATTACTCCTCTCCAAGACATCTGAGATGTGCAGGAAGGAGAGGAGGGTGTGATTCCCAGCCACTAATTTTGCCCAGGAATTAGGGCCGGTTGGGACCATGGAGAGATGGGAGTCATTAACACATGGATGAGGCTGCCCAGAAAATTATCCTGAGCTGTGTCCTGCAAGGCAACATCCTCCCTTTGGATTGGGAAGGTGTTTGGAGGATCCTAAACAAAAAAGGGTTGTAAAAAATGTTTTATCCTTGCTCCAGACTGCTCTGAGCTTCTCTGACCCCATCCAAAGTCTTGGACAGGGGTGAAGGTGCTCCAGAGGCTCATCCTGCTGTTATCATTGCAGAAATTTGGGGAGGGAATACCCAAACTGATACACACGGGGACAGAGGACAGGAGGAGATATTGTCCTCAAAGGCATGGGAAAAGCTCCTAGGAGGAAGAATTCCCAGAGCATGGCACTGAGAGAGGCAGCACAAGGCAAACACACAGCCCTTTCAGCGTCTGGAGCCGGCAGGATCACGTGGAATTGAGATGGAGCAACAGTTCCAAATGGAATGATAAATGCCTGGCTGTGGATAATCATCAGCGTAAATACCTCAGAGACGTGTTGGATGGAGTTGTGACGTGGCCCAGGACAGTTGTCACCCTTCATCTCTGCTATCAGAACCACCAACAGCCAAATCCCATGGAAAAATTGATCCCCGTGCTGATCCACGTGTGTGGGCGAGGCTGAGGAGTGCTGGGAGGCAGGGAGGGGGGAATGGGATAGAGCCATCAAACCTTTAAAAAAGAGGGAGAGGAATTGCCAAGGCAGGGATCCGTGAGAGAGGGGTCATCAGATGGTGGCACGTGACCAGTGGCCACCCCACCGTGAGATGAATGTTGGGCCAGGCAGGAAAACCCCAAACCTCCTCTCTGAGGCACAGCAAGCCCAGAGCTGTTTCCTAACTCTTTGTAGGGTTCAGGGAACGGGGCGAGGCCCTCGTTTGGTTTTGGGATTCCAGAGTGACCGGCTGGATCACGGAAAGCAGGGAATATGGAGAGGGGAGAAGTGACCTGGCTGTTCCCAGCCAGGGATGGACAAATGCATCTCTGAGCTCGTGACACTTTTCTGCTGGGAGTTTGGGTGGAAAAAGTGCAGGAAATTCAGCTTTGGGGTAAATTCCAGCTTTTTGGGGAAACCAGGAGTTTTCCAAACCAAAATCTGGAAGCTGAAATCTCTGAAGCTGTTTGGGGTCAAGATGGAATGAAACAAAAAAAAACCCAAAACAACACAAAACAAAACAAAGCAACAACAACAAAAAAAATCAAACAAAAAAGCCCCAACCAAAACAAAAAAACCACCCCAAAAATTAAAAAAAACCCCAAAAACAAAAACAACAAAAAAACCCCAAACCAAACAAAGAAAAAAAAAACCCCAAAAATGTGTTTTTAAAAATTCTCATTCTCCTTTTTTATTAACTTTTGGGTTTCCAGCATTCCAAACTGAAATAACTTTTGGGGATTCGTGTCCTGGCCTTTTTTCAATGCTGGATGCCTCAGGGTGTGTCTGTCCCACAAACTGCAGATTTTGGGATGACTCCCCCCTGCCAGGACACCTGAATGGCTCCATGGAGACCCCCAAATCTTTCCAGAAGTGAATCCAAAGGATCAACCCTTTCCATGCCTAAATGAGTTAAATCCCACAACCGAGTGAGGAAAATAAAACCAATTTAAAAAAAAAAAAAAAGTGGCAAAACTATAAAAAGCCCACCCGCCTACGAGGTGGGATTTGATGAAAATTGGCACTTTTCCATAAAATTTCCATGCCTGGGGCACTAATGAATATTCTGAATTGCGGGAGAGCGGCGGGGGGGAGGACACACAACAATAAAAAAACCCCCACTTTTTAATGAAATTCTGGCTATTTTCCAGCACGAAGAGCCAAACAAAGCCCACGAGAGGGAGCTGCTGCCTCTGTCCACGGGATGCTCCAGCCCATGGAGAGCCGCTGATCCTGGAGCAACTTCCAGGGAAAAAAAGCGAGCAGCCTTGCGAAGGATGAGCCAGGCGGGCTGGAAGCAGCCCAGGGAAGGATCCGTCCAGGCTGTGGGTCCATCCTGCTGATTCCACCCGAGCCGACAGCAGCTCCTGGCCATTCTCCAGCGTCTGCTCGCTCCCACGCCGTTGGCAATCCGGGATGTGCCTTGCTCTGGATCCTGGGATAATTCTGGAGCACCCTGTGCTAGAGCAGGGGGAATTTCCATCCGAGTCCCAAAGGCCTGCAAGGTTTTAATCCAGAGCTTGGGCAGCTTGGAAGGGGGTGTGACCCTCTGTCCCACTCTTGGGAATCCCCAAAATTGTTGGGATGGGCCTGGCAGCATGAAGGGAATTTTATTTTCTTAGCACCCATGAAGTTTTGGGGAGTTGAA